GTCTAATAATAGCTTGTCAACATCAATTTCAGTGCGAATGTGGGCGAGGTTCGATTAAGTTACCCTAAAGTATAAAATTTCAAAAAAAAAAAATTACTTTATTTGTAATTGTAAATAACAACTATTTTGAAATTACTTTTATGTAAGCTGTTTTTGCTAATTATTTACTTTTACACGTAAAAGTAATTTGTTGTTATGATGTAGTTTTATTTTACTTTGTAAAGTAAGTGTTATGTTTTTTAAGTATCACAGAGGCGGATTTAAACCCCTTCAATTGCTGCAATTGACGAGGTAAAAAAAATATATAAATGGTAGTATTATGTCTAACACCCGCTCAATACTAGTTGCCGATCTTAATATTTTTGTTAGAAAATACAATTAGGAAAAAGTTCACAGTGAAAACTATGCTTTGCAGATATTGCAAAAAATGTTTTATAAAAATTGCTAATGTAAACTATACTTTGAAGAATATGAAAGAATTATTTTAAAAAATTTGCTAATGTAAAATATACTTTGCAGGATATGAGAATATGGATAAGGTAGTTATCTATTTACGCTATTAAATATTGCAATCTGATTCATTTAAAAATATAACTTTTTTAAAAATCGTAGTGTAAACTATACTTTGCAGCATTTGCAGCAGTTGTTTGATTGGTTGCAAATATACTCTGTTGTATCAACAAAGCATTTCCTTTAGATTGTGTTACTCGGTGTAGTTAAGGCGATTTACAAAATATTCGAATACTTTGATTTGGAGTTAGCATAGTTTTGTCAGCATATTATGTCCAAACAAGATCTTTAAATGTTATAATTTTTTTTTTGCGTAAAGTTTTTAAAATATTTAAAGAAACTTTTATTTTTTTACATATAATTTTCAAAACATTTATACTACTGGTAATAGTGCATCTAAAGAACACTATTTTGGAGTCTTTAGATTAATTACGCTCATCGGCATTAGCATGAATTTAGTTAAAATCTTTTGAAAAAGTTTCTTAATTTACTACTGATATAATCGATTCTGACATATATTAACTATATATAGTTGTCAAAACACAATATTTCTATCAATTTTCAAAAAAAAAACACTAGAATTCCGACCAAGAAAGAGATTATAATTTTGTAAAATTGCCATTACACGATCAGAACAGATGATATTGTTAAACTATAATGTTCATTACACCTAAAAAACGTATTAATATAAAATCTTGTTAAAATTTGGACGAGCGATTGTGATTTTAAGATGATTTAAAAAAAAAAAAAAAGAATCTTCGGTCTGGGTTTTTTCGCTACAAACATTTATATTTTATGAATCCGCAAAATTTTAGAATTTTTGATCAATTTAATATTTTTCGTCTTTTCATAATTCACAGACCAGACCATTAAACGGAAAAATGTTGTAGTCAACAAAATAACATACAGACGCAAAAATATTTTAAAATTGCCTTGAGTCGAGGGTTTTTAAATTTTAATGTGCAAGCATGGCCCATAACTTATTTAAAGTTGTTCTCAAAAAATTAGAAACCGACAATCTTGTCAATTTAAATATGTTTTAGGAAACTTTATTGGATAAATTTATTAATAAAAATAACAAAATAGTTACTAATGAAGAATAATTGTTTCATCATAATGACGGCACTTATTATCGCATCATAATATGTCACCATTTCTTCTTATTGTGACAATAATAAGAAATATATGTGCAGAAGTTTGTATCCTGTCTTCCTTTAATGACAACTTTAGGCCTTGTATTGCTCTGAGGTAAGTCACTTTACTTTTTCTTCAAAAATAATTATCTAATTATATTTTAATACAATAAGTTAATCTGTTTTAATTTTATAAGCAACTTAAATCTAGATATAAAAAATTGTGGGTGTCAGGGATATGATGGAGCCAGTTCCGTCTATGGGTATATCCTTGGTCTTTCTGCTCAGATTCTAATTATAAGTTCAAAGGCTCTGTATACACGTTGTAGCCATCAACTGAACTTATCTGTTTGTAAATCGTGTAATGTCTAATTAGTCTCAGAGGTTTTTGATAAAGTTTGTGAACTTTCTTTTTTTATAATTATTCAGAAAATAGACAAAGGTTTTTTGAAGCTAGCGTTTTAAAGCTTGAACCTCAAACGCATAAAGTTAAAGGATGGTGTAGAACTAGATGGACTGAGCGTATAAATAGTTTAAACACTTTTATTGAGCATTATTTATATATTTTCCATGCTTTATGAATCATCGCTTTCACTTAGAGTTCTGTTAACAAAGACACGCAAAATAAATCTTCTACTTTTTATTATTATTTATTGGCACTTTATCAACTCATCTTTACTTTAGTTATGACAACACGTGTCTTTGATTTTACTTTACCTGTTACTTGGTTACTGCAATCATAAACTATTGCTGTCTTAGACGGTTTGCATCTTATTACAGCTCTTAAAAATAAATTTGTTTTCATCAGAAATTATATAGATAATTTCAAAAATAGCTGCTACAAAGCATCATGTTTGCTTTCAATTAAAGCTGACGTTTTGGTTTTAAAACCAAGAACCTGTTCTATTCAAAAATATTGCTCTAATGTTCCATCAGACTCTGTTTCAAAATTCTTCAAAAGAGCTGTTACTATTCCTCTAATAGATGATTTCCCTGATATCAGTGCGTTGAATTGGAAACTAGTTATTTGGGAATAACATGAGGAAAGATTCTCTGGAACTATTCTTGGCAATATATTCTTAACTCTTAAATCAATATCATTTCATTGGATTTGAAAATTTTAAGATAGCTTTAAGGATACTAGGGACACTTCCTGTTACTTCATTTGAGTGGAAAAGCCAAGATATCAATGGTGTCTATAACAAGACAGGTTATATGTAACCCCATACTTTTGTTTGGGATTAGCTATATGATTAGTGGTCATAGTTAAGGTAAATACTGACCTTCTCTTTCTGACATAGACAGTTTTTTTCCACCATTTTCTAATTAAGCATCAAAATAAAAATAAAAAAAATTTCAACTAAATTTTCTCTTTATCAACCAAATAATATTTTTAAGTTTTTGTTCTATTTAAAGTGGTTTTTTACTGTAACTATTCAAAAACCGTTACTTTTCCTTTCATTTGATCTAAATGATCTTCTTTATTGTTTTTAAGGTTCAACTTGGTTTAACTTTTTTAAAGAATCTTGTAATATAAAAATATATATAACCTTTTATTTGAATATGAATATAAATCAATTTTTATTTGAGTCTTTCTCTTTTCTGTTCTTATTTTTTCTTTTTTCGATCGTCCATTGACAATCGAAAAAAGTATGGACAATTAGATAAAGTAATTTATTAAACCTAAATTGCCTAATTTAGTAAATTGCTCCACCTTTATAGATGGCCTGGCAAATTAAATCAAAAAATTCTCCACTTCCTTCATTATTACATAGTCTGAATCCGCCCTTGCTCCAGCCCTCCCCCTCCTTTTCTTTTATTTGCATTGTGAGCGTAGTTGCGTCATTTTAATTTTTTTTTTTGACGGGGTAAATTGAAGACCTGCGTCCGCCCCTATATTATCCCAGATAGCATGAACACGTTGGCCCGACGTCGGGCCAACGTGTTTTATATCGGCTAGAAAAAATACGGCAACATAACGTAGGAAATGTAATGTTTTAAATGTGCATTGTGGTTTTCTGCAGTTAGCTTACTCAATAATTGAGTAAATAAAACGCAGAAAACCGCAATGCACATTTAAAACATAGTATTTCCTACGTTATGCCGACGTAAATTTTCTAATCAAATGTAACACGTCGGCCCGACGTCGGGCCAACGTGTGCTAGTTTTCTTATTTTCATTGTGTTTTAAACTATTGAACAGTTATTGTTCCGTTGTTTAAAAATTAGCTAAATATTATCCAATTATATTTAGTTTAATTTTTTTTTTTTATCATTATTTTTATTTTTTTATTGCAAAAACATACTTTGTGTCTATATCAAACATCAATAGTTCCTCAAGTAAAATATTGATGACTAGAGTAAATAGTTGGCAAAAAAAATGCAACTTATGGTCTGCATTTTTAGTCAAAACTGTAAAAGAAAATTCTTGGCAAACTTTTGACCAAAATACTTAATTTATTACTTTTTTTTTTATAACGTTTTTTTTACGTTTGCATATACTTTTTTGTAGTTGTTTTATTTTTTCACGTTTTTAACTTTTTTTTATTTAAACTTTTTTTTACGTTTAAGCATTGTAAGTATAAAAAATGAAAGTGAAACCGTTATTTTTGCGAACTATTTTTTTTTATTCTTAAGTTTACGTTTTTATGTTGTTTTTTTTACGTTGTTTTTATTACGTTTTTTTCTTATGTTTAAGCATTGTTAGTATCAGATATGAAAAAGACCCACGCTCAATAATTTTGCGTGCATTTGTTTAAAATCTTTTAATTGATTTACAAAGCAGTTAATTATAATTTTATAGGTAACGATGCTATGGTAATTTGCTTTAATATTGCGTATTTTTGAAAACAAACTGTTTGTTATGAAAGTTAGTGATAAAAGTATTATTATATTCAAGCAGTATGTATCACGAGAAAAAATGGTTTTAATAGCATTGAAACAGTTTGCATCACAAGAAGAAATGGTTTTGATATCATTGAAACAGTTTGTATCACGCGAAGAAGTGGACGAAAGATTGATTTAAGTAAAAATAGTCAACACAAGAAAATCGTAAGTTTCTTGAAATGTTTTTTATACAATTTACATTATTATTACATTATATTTATTTGTATTATTACAAAATAATTATTTAAGCATTATTTTAATTATTATATAAAAATCTCTAACCAATACGCTATTGTAAATATGTTTTTTGATTTATTTATAATTACTACGCGGAAAAAAATCAGCGGAAGTTGTGTCGTTTTTTGTCGTTAAATTTAATGTAAACCCGCAATTGAAGCTATGGAACAAAATCAGTAAAAGTAAACAAAAAAAGCATTATTATGAATTTTCTCTACGTTAAATTTTTAAATAGTTAACAAAATGACTCAATACTAGGATGAAAACCATTTTTTCGCCGTTTTTTAATTCTGATGGCTAACCTTATTATATTGATGTTTTTCAAAAAACATTAATAAAACTTAAATAAAACCATTTTTTAATGTTTTTTTTTATCTGTGTTGGTAAACTAAATTTTAAAAATGCTCTCTAAAGTCTTCATATATTTTATATATATTTATATATATTCGATTTTAGTTTTAATAGAAATCAAAAATATTAGTTAAAAGTATGCAAAAAAAAAAAAAAATAGTTGTAAATAAAATGACTTTTTCTATTATCGGTTTCATAAACGTTATCAACATACTTTATATTTCAATTTTGCTATTGTTAAAATGAGTGGTATCCAATCACAACTAACCAAATGCTAAATATTTAAATAAAGTAATGCTAAATATTTTTAAAATGTTTTTTTAACTGTATCAAATGTCCACTCTAATTTTATTGATTAAAAACGTTATCAAGGATTCATACTTTTTTTATTTTTTCAAAATTTACCTTTAAAGGCTGAATTTTGCAAAAAAAATACTGGTGATGTAAAAATAATAAAAAAAGTAGTTTAAAATGTATTTGATTTTTATATATATTTATATAAAGCAGGTTATAAGATACTGCGTATGAAGATAGTTTAAAACTAGCTAAAAACAATTTGAGCAATGATAATATTTATTTTGTTTTATGGGTAAAAATTTCTAAAAAAGCACAAATCTGCACCCTATATCACCAAAATTTTTGAAACTTGGCACAAATGTTTATAGACATATGTTAGGAAAGATTGTAATTTTTTTTCATTAAATTCCTTACCGTTTATAATTTACAGCAATTTGAAGTTTCCTTCATTTTGACTAAAAACTGAGGGGGAAAAAGTGCCGAAAATCATTCCGTTTACTTTCACCTTAATATGGTGTTTGTAGTGATGCCACAATTCTGAAACTTTGTACCAAAAGAGTTTAAAACCTGTTAAATCTGAAAAATATAGTTTTTTATATGTCAAAACAAGGGTATGTAGCTTATTTTAAGATCCTTAAAATACACTTTATAACGCCGAGAAAAAAGGGCATTTACAATTATAGCTATAAAAAAAATCTGACTGATATAAAAAAAATTTTTGATTTTCTTAAAAATAAGATCAACACCTACTTTTGGAACCAATTTTGTTTTGGCTTTATTTTATTTGGCCTTTTAAATTAGACACTTAATATAACCCCATCTTTTACCAATCAATCAAATTAGAAACTAAAAATTTAATGACTTTATTATCTTTTTCATTTTCATATGATATTTACAACAAAATTTAAACGTATATAAATTTTTTTTTTTAAATACTAACCTTTAGTGATTTTATATATGCTTTACATTCACATTATTTACAAGTTGGTTCACAAAACATAATATTTAAAAAAAGAATATAAGACTCATAAATATAAAAATCTCTACTTCCTTAGGAAAATAATTTTTTTTAAGTCCTCTTTGGCTAAATAGTAGCAAAGTCCTGTTTTTGTTATCGGTACCTCAACTTTGCAAATAATGTGGACATCAGGAATCCAGCATTGGCTTTCCTTTGGTGGCCATTTAAACGACCGTGCAGGACCATTAGGACACATAAATTTTACAAGCACATCTTTTTCTTTTAAATTAATATCTTTAATGACTCCTAAATACCACTTTTGCTCATAGGAAACACAGGCATAATCACCTGATACTAGGTTTACAGTTGTTATCTGGATATTTCCAAAGTCATGAATTAAAGCAAATTCTTCATCAACACTGCATAGCTTAGTGTCTACCTAAACAAAATAGTAACATATGCAATTATTCCGTTTTACTTATCAAACATGTTTTATTAAATGCATTGATAGCAAATGCAGAGGAAATAAAATAAAATACAAATATTTTTGAAAATGATTCTGCAAAAGTCTAATATCTATTTGAGTTTATCAATAAAAGTTATGCGTGTATTTTAAAATATGGTAAAAGGTATAATTATAAAATAATAATTTACCTTTTGATGGCCAAGTGGTACAAACTGATGGTAAACTGACGGTAAACTGATGGTAAACTGACGTGTTCCAGATATTGTATTAGCAGTATCCAATTGTTCTTTAAGAGCGGTTCTCACCAAAGTTAAATCTTCTGATGAAATATATATGAAATTTATGCCTTCAATGTTTTCATTGCAATATTTATACATTGTTTATGGAGATAAAATATAATTACCCATATCTCTTTGCAAACTTGCTAGTGTTGTCAGACGTTTGACTGTACCACCTATCCCATCACAAGGTTGCTTACCGTGACTAGTTGCAAAAAAGTTCCATTTAGCAGTAAAATCAAAATCTTCACAATGGAAACAAAGATTTAACATATTTTTGCAATTCTTATATTGACCTGCACACCCATCTGAAAAGTATTCAATATTTTTTATTTGAGGAAAATTTGTTTTTATATCATTGCAAACAACCTCAATAATTTTATAAACAATTTTCACATCATGGATCATATCATCCGAAATAATACAATAGGGTTTGTGCTTGAGAATGCCTTCTTTTTTGAAATAAATAATCACTGGATAGAGTGTACATTGTAAATTTGTCCAATGAAAGCTTTGCACTTCATCCTGAACTACAAATTTATAGTTTTCTGAAAATCACCCAGAAATAATGCTGTTACCTTATTCATATCTTCCTTTCTTGATCTTAGGTATAATGCTTGACTCTTTGCTAAATATGAATGTGGTGTAAGTTTTTCTTTTTTTCTACATACTAGTTCAATGTATTCAAACACTGGCTCTTTATTATGTGTCAATTTTATTATTTGACCTATCTGTTGTTTTCTATTGATAAAATTCAATCTCATCATCATCTTCAAATTCTCTAAGTATATCATAAAGTTTTTCAACCAATGCATTCATTGTTGCTGGGCATTTTTCACATTTCCTCATCATACAGTTTTTATTAGTTATATCACAGACAATATAAGGTAATAATTCTTTGTATGTCACACCAAGAGGATGTAAAAGCAGTTTCAAATTCTGATGAATAGCACAGACGCACACAAAATGTGTTCCTGAGGCACCAACAGTAATACACCATACAAGTCGCAAGGTGTAAAACCTTGAAAATCCTATTTTTATTTCTGGGTTCTTGGTTTTAAAAGCAACAAACAACTCCTTTAATTTACATAAGAGCAAACGTTTTTGCATGTGGACATTTTTCTTTATGCTTACATAGTCCTTTTTATACTTATTGATAAACATGCCATAACTTTACTTAGACAGGTTGGACAGGTTTTTTTCCAGGTACAATATTTAAACCTATGGTTTCTGCTTCTAACACAGTATGCATTGTAATCACACGTAGAGATGCTTAAAAAGAAAGTAATTACATTACTTAAATAACATTAATTATATATATTACTATACAATTTGTTATATTAATAACTATGAAACATTGAACAAATCTTACTACCAAAAAAACTTATATGACTTATTAATAATGATATTACCTAATGAAATATAAATACATAAATTTTTACCTCTACACACCTTTTGGTGACTCAGAAATGAATTACAGCAGCTTTTCTGATTACCCTCATATCTTACAAGTAACATATCATGATGGTGTGTGCATATTTTTTTTTTTACATCTTCGCTTTCAACAAGGGTGCAAGCAACCACTAATTAGTGTTGGAAGTTACTGGAAGAGAAAAGATGAAGATTGTAGAGCAAGATAACGATTGACAGACGACTTAAAAGATTGCAAATTATATGAATCAGGAAAGCGAGATGAAGGAAGCGAATTCCAAAGAGCTGATGTTCGAGGAAAAAAACTAGACGAGTAAGAGTTTTTGGAGCACTTAGGAACAGTAACAGAAAAAGGATGAGACTTGATTGAAAGACGAGTAACACGAGAATGAATTTTAGTAGATGGCACAAGAGACGCTAGCTCTTTAGAGCAGTGCCCATTATAGTATTTGTAGAAAAGAGAAAGAGAAGCAACATTCCAACGATGTGACAGAGGTTGAAGGTTGGCTGCAAGAGCAGTTCCAACTATGTTTACGATGCGTTTTTGCACCTTGTCTAAAAGAAAAAGGGCATCATTAGAAGATCCGCCCCAGATATGGCAACAGTATTCCATACAAGGCCGGATTTGAGATTTATAGAGATAGAGAATAGAATCCAGAGTAAGAAAGTGTCGAGCTCGATAAAGAGAAGCAACTTTAGCAAATGCTAATTTCGCAACGGATTTGATATAAGGTTTCCAAGAAAGATCAGAAGTAAGAGTTAATCCTAGAAGATGAAGGGTAGGAGACTCATCGCACATTACCGTTCATAAAAATAGGAAGGTCTAAATTATTGCGATAACGAAAAAAATTGGAAAAAAATTGAGTTTTATTTGAATTAAAGTTCACCAGCCAAGTGATATCCTTTTCAAGCTCAGATGTCCCCTGCAAGCAATCAGAAGGAGTTGTCTTCTTATCGTGACAAGAATAAATGGTAGTATAATCAGCGAACAATGACACCTTAGATGTGAGAATATCTGGAAGATCGTTAATGTATATTAAAAAAAGTATAGGCCAAGGATTGAACATTGAGGAACCCCTGAGGTTACAGAATAAGAAGAAGGGTGCTGTCCATCAAGGACAACTTTTATACTACGATTGGAAAGAAAGGATTCAATAATCTTAAAGATGTTTTCAGATACACCGTAATAAGAAAGCTTATGGAAAAGACTAGCATGCCAAACTTTATCAAACGCTTTAGAAATGTCAAGAGCAATGGCTTTAACCTCTCCACCTTTATCTAATGCGCGATAAAACCTATCGGTTATTACTGATAGAAAATCAGCCGTAGAACGAGAAGATCGAAATCCATATTGATGATCAGAAAGTAGGTTATGAGATTCGAGATTAGAGATTAAGTGTTTGTTGATTAAAGATTTAAAAACCTTGCTTATGATAGGAAGGATAGGAATAGGAATAGGATAGAAATGGGACGGTAGTTAGACGAATCAGATTGCTCTCCAGAATTTTTAAAAATAGGGATAACAGATGCTGCTTTCCAGCAGGCTGGAAAACAAGACTCTGATAAGCACTTGTTAAATAGTTTTGAAAGAATAGACGACAGCTCCGGAGAACACTTCTGCAAGACTATAACGGGTATGTTGTCCGGGCCGCAAGCTGTGGAAAAGTCTAAGCAGGAAATCACTTTAGATACAGAAGCTGGAGTGATACGGATGTCAAGTAATAGATCAACCTGTTTGACGGCTATATCAGTTAGGACGCAACTAGTGGAATCAAGAGATGATATTGATGAAAAGTTCTTGGCAAACAATTCAGCTTTGTCTTTAGGTGAGATGACAAAGTCTGAGCCATACAAAAGAGGTGGAATTACAGACTTGCCCTTATTAATGATACTATTAAAGATTCTCCAGAAATCACGAGAGCCTAATTTTTGTGATGAAATACGAGATCTCATGGTCTGGCAATAGCGGGCTTTGGTGTTAGACAAAACCTTTTTACAATGGTTCCTAGCAGTAATAAACAGACGTCTGTTTTCTGGAGAAATGTTTTGCTGATAGATATGGAAGTAATAGTTTCGATTGGCAATTGCAGCAGCACAATGTGAGGAAAACCATGGAGAAGAGTGGGGCTTGACCTGGAATCATCGAGAGGGAATAAAGGATTCCATGCCAGCCTGAATCCACGAAGTTATCTAAGAAGCACATTAGTCAACAGGAAGACGAAAGATTTCTACCCAGGGGCCATCACGAAGAAAATCACGGAAAGAGTCCCATTCAGCTTTAAGGTAGTTGTAAGATGTATGATGATAAGGGGATTCTGATGGTAAAGAAGAATGAGATAATAGTTTTAGAGAGACCAAACCATGATCAGAAGCATCTAAGGGTGAGTGTGGAGAAACTGAACACTGACTAGGATCAGAAACAAGACATAAGTCGAGTAGAGATGGTAAATGATTCGGGTTGTCTGGAAAACGAGTTGGAAAGTTGACTATTTGAGTTAGGGATTGAGAAAGGCAAAAGTTGTGGGTCTTAATGCCTGCAGAGTAACTGACACTTGAGCCAAGCCAATCAGTGTGATAAACATTAAAGTCACCGATATTATTAGTATATATTAGTAATTTGTTCTTGTTTCATATATTATTCGCATATATTAGTAATTTGTTCTTGTTTCAGATTTGTTCGTTTTTTAAGTAGCTTACGATCATTGCTGTCAATATCTTCAATCAGATTTCTTTCTTGAGTATATGATTGTTTATAACAAGCTCCATAATTATTTACAAAGCAGCAATTAATTTTGTTATCCATATAAAAATATAATAAGGAATCTCTAAACGCCTAATACAAGAAATCTTAAATAATCTTAATGTCCCTAACAAGAAAAGTACACTTGAACACAAGCAATATCATATCAATATGTATTTATAAAGAATATATTGCTTGAACAAGTAGCTATTAGTTTAATAGACGTATTTTAAATGCCTAAATATCTATTAATTATTGTAAATTCTCCATTAACTACTTACAAAAAGTTGTGTAAAAGTAAAAGATAACTAAATATAATTTTATTTAGTTATGTAACTTAAAATATCATTTTATTACTTTTTTGTTATTGATGATAATAAATGTTTTATTACAACAAAACAATCAACAACAAAAGTTACATAATATTGTTAAATTTAATAACATGATATTATGTAATGAAAATGACATTTTGTCATTTTCATTACATAATATCATGTTTTGTAATAACTTTGTAAATTTTTTTTCACGCTATGTTTTGTAATAACTTTGTAATTTTTTTACAAAGCTGTTACAAAACAAATTGTAATAGCTTTGTAATTGTATTTGTATTCAAAATATATTTGCAATTTTTTTTTTTTTTGCAGGTATCTTTAGAAAAATTGAAAAACTAAAACTTCAATAACTCCTTGATAAAACATAAGGCCAAATAAAAATTAGTTCGCAAAGTAGATATATGTTTAATATTTAAAATAACGAAAACCAAAACTTTTTTTCATCAGTCAGATTTTTTCTAGAACTATAGTTGTCAATGGCTTTTTTATTGTCATCAACAAGTGCGTTTAGTGGATCTAAAAATAAACTATATTTTATTGTTTTGAGAGATAAAAGTTTATGATTTTCAGATTCAGCTGGTTTTAAACTCTTTTGGTACCAAGTTTT